ACACTATCGTCCTCCTCTGCGATTCTCATGAATGCAAGTAAGATCTACTGGTAATATATTATATATATATTTATAAAGTCGATATATGTTGCAACCCTTTCCATCGATCACAGTGAAATATTTAAGTTATTCTGTTTTATTTCTAGTAATATTTATAATGTTTAGTGTAATATTTTGAAACTGAATTTAAAAATTTCGAAAAGTTTTTGTGCTAACTCAAGCAGTATCTTCTAATTAGATGCTCGACATACATACATTTACTTTGTAGAGTATATATCTTCTCTATACGAAGACGTGTATTTTATGCTAGGAATTTATATTGAGAAATGTCACAATAAATTTCTGCTCCAGAAAATACGAAAAGTCAAATTGCGAACGAAATGACGTGCCAGGAACTGGCATATTATATCATACCCCAGCCGAGCTTCGCATGAGGCGGAGGGTTGCATTTGGAGTAAAAGTAAAATCAAAATCTACTCGTAAATGTTTTGCTCGCAATACTATATAACAAATATCCGTTGCATGCTCGTGGGGTTGGAGCTGAGGGAATAAGTTGAAGTACTTGTCCATTGGGAGCAACTGGGTTGAAAATGACACACCATGAAATTACATTTATGCCTGCAGTGCAAATATTTTACAGTTATGAACATGGTTAGCACATGTCGCTTTCCGCCGGCTACCCAGTCCCTAGAGTGTGTGTGTATCTCTGTGTGTGTCTGTGTGTGTTGATGTGTGTCTAATACAGTTGAAAATATGGCCGAAGCCGTCGACGACGGCCTGTCTCAATGGGTCGCAGCTTGTGCGTTTATGAATTGAGGTCTCAATGTAGTCAAATGTCACTGTGCCACTTGAAGCAATTGCAAAATGTGTTGCAAATATTTATATAGTAATATACACATATGCACTGCCAGGCAGGTGGCAGTAGACTTGTTGCCAGTTATATTACTCATACGCAGTGTGTTTGATTAAATTAGCAAGAAATGTTCCGAGCTGTCGTTGTGGTAGTCACTTATAGTATTTCTTGGCAAGTGCCAGAAATGACGACGTCTGTTTAATTATTAAATTTGCAAATAACATCCTGCAGTATAAGCATGTATTTGTATGGAGCAGTGCAAAAAGTTATACAAATGTTCTGGTAAATATCTGTGTCACTTGCAGAGGCTGCTTGTGCATAATTAAAGAAAATATGTATCTGCAACATGCACATATGTACATATGACTTGGTAGGGGCTCAAGCAGACGCTGGCTTAATTAAAAACAAAAAAAAGGCAAAAGAAGCAGCAGCAGCGGACAGTTTGTCTGTGGAAATTGCAACGAAATTCTATCGTATTGCAAATTGTTTCCGCCTGTAACCAGAGCTGCCTGTTGTGGCCCGAGCCCAGCCAAGCGGCCAAGCGACAGACGAACCGACGGGCAAACAGGGCGGGACAGCGGGACATCGGGTCAGACATGAACTTGCAACACCTCATTTAAGCGCCTTTGTATTGCAAATTTTTGCAGGTATTAAATTACAATTTGCCACTGTTTGTTGTTGTTCCTGCTGCTGATGTGACGCGACGCGACGCAGCAACAAAAAGTCAAACAATCGCATGACAGTAAACGAGAAATGAAGCCCAGCCCTGAAACACAATGCGCTCCAAATAAACAAACAGATAAGATAATATGCCTGGCAGGGAGTTTGGGTCTGGGATTGGCTGCAAATTGAAATGTATCTACAAGTGAACGTCAATGGCATGCAGTTGGAGAACATTAATCGTACTTTGGATGAGCGAAAAGAAAGAGCAATAATTAAGTGCTCAGCGAAAAAAAAAAAACAAATAATGTATAAAATCTTAAGTAAAAGCAAAGAAAATTGAACGCTAATGAGTTTCAAGTAGCTATTACTTTGTTTTTAAGATATTAAGCTACTCAAAATTCTGGCACTGCCAGACGTCAGGTCTGAGCCAAGTGAATGTGCACTTAAAAATTGAAAGCTCATATTACATTTTCTTGCAAAACAAGCAAGAATATATTCCTCGAAAGCTGAGATACTTAATATTTATGCTGAAATCTAAAAAAATGTTTGGTGACTTTGGTAACTAGGTGCCTCACCAAAAGCCCCTCTTCTGCCTCTTTCACAACCCAGTTATGGTAACACCTTTTTTTTTTATCAAAAATATAAATGCAATTATTTGCAATTCCATATCAATGGCAAAGTTACCCAAGTAATTTCTGTATAAAAACACGTTTAATGAATCAGGGGAAAAATGAAGATATTACATTGCATGTTCGACTGGGCCAATTGATATGTGGCTGAGAACCAACCAAATGCTAAACGGAAATGACGAAAACAGTTAAGACAACGCCAGAGTTTGGCCAAAATGCACATGCAGAAACATTTAAGCAGAAATGTGAATGAGAATGAAAATGCAATGAATTTTAGTCGAAAAAATATGCAAAGGCTGAAAATTGTTTGCCAGCCAGACTGCAGCATGTTGGCTTAAAGCCTGCTAAGCCGAACGAACAGTCAGCATCATGACCAGGCTCTCAGTGAAACGAATCGAGTTTATACAAAATGCAAATTTTTGCCAGTGCATTTTCTTTTGTTTTCGCTTGCTGCTTGCTGTTTGCTGCAACTTCCGCATTGTTGATCATGAATAAAAATTTAAGTTCTTATTGTTGTCGAGTGGTCCGGGGCACGTGGGTCGTATCCAGCACCGAGTCGCATAAACTGAAGTTGTTCGAGTTCCTGATGTCGTTGATGTTGCTGATGTAGCTGACATCGCCCACGCCCAATGCCACAAAGTAAAAAAAAAAAGGTAAAATGTAAAACTAAAGAGTGCGCTCCATTGATTTAGTTTAGGCCTGGACTGAGGGGTCACACACAGTGCATGACTGGCGCAAATCTTTTTGGCCAGTAATCGTAGCTAGAATACTTTCTAACTGCCGCCCATTAATCTAGCGCCTGGTTGCCGCTACAAGTGTCCGGCCGTATGACTAAATTAATTTTTGTTCTGGTAGCCACGAACAAGGCAGCAACTTGTAGGTTCTGTCGTGATTTATAGTGCACTCATTTAGAAAGTTGCTCAACAAGCAGCTGCCTTGCCGCATGCAACATGCTGCCCATTGCCCATTGCCCGTTGCCCGTTTCCCGGAGCCTACTGGCAGCTGCCTGCTGGAGAACAGTTCCTTGTTACAGTTTAGTCGTGCCTGTCGCCGTTTGTGCCTGGTTGGTTAGCTGGTTGGCTGCAACAGTTGCCCGCTTGCATTTTGGGCTTTGTCCTCTCGGGCTTGTGGCTTTGGGCCATTTCGAGCTGCTTGTTCGATTTAATGAATGACATTTACAGCGCTGGCGTTTGATTGAGTTGTTTTGACTGGCCATGATGGCCAATTGACGGTTGCCAACTGCAAGTTGTTAACTGAAAATTGCCCCTGCCTCCCTGTCGATGCTTGCATTCCCAGAATTTCGTATTAAGTGGCTCGCATCAGGTTTCCGTTGCCTCCACCTGCTTGGCCAATCATAAATTTTGATTTTTTTTATCGACCGATGCCCTGTGGTCTTCTTCTTATCACAGCACATAAATAATGCGATGCGCTTGAACGTTTTATATCAGTTTAAAGAGCCACCTCCGATGTTTATGACAATATTTTGGCACTCACAATATCTGACATTTATTGGCAACTGTCCAACACAACAACAACTACAACATATATACAATACGACTATATGTCTCAACATAAATATACATATACCATACGACTATATGTGTCAACATAAATATATATATGTATATATTTTATGAGCTCAAAGGAGAAGCGACATTTTATGACCCTGTTGTCGCCTGCAAAGGCCACAAAACTTCTGGGATCACATATTACAAATGTAAGTGAAAAGCTCCAACTACTTTGCAGTTGCTTTTCAAATCGTATTAAATTTGAAGCCACATTAGATGCAGACCACAGTTACTCGTTAATGGAAAAGGGATAAGCGAGCTTGGGAATTCTTTTAAGAAGGTTCCAACATATAATATCAACAATGATATGGGAAGACTTGTCGATTTTTTGTAAGTTACAGAAAAATACAGATTCGTAAGAGAACAAAAGTGGTAATTAAAAATGGTTGTGATTGTGATTCAGAGAAATGAAGAGAAATATCTTAGGACAGGCCAAGCTTGGTGAGCTAAAAGTATTACAATACTCATACATTACTGAACGAATTTAAAAGTCTTCGCAAAGAAACCATTCTAAAATGACCTGGGCGGTCGGTCAATTAGCTAAAGAGTCCTCAACACAATTCAAATGAACTGGACTTTAACTAATTCGCCACATTAAATTTCAAAGAAAATTCCGAAAGAACATTTAATCACTTTCTTGAAAGAAAGCATAATGCTTTGTTTGTAGCAAACCTTTTTTGTATACCATAAAATAGAGGCAATGAATGGTGTTAGGCTCCAGAGTCCTTGAAGCAAATAAATTGAGTTGTAAGCCAGCCTTTGTCTTAACCCATTCACGTGGCTTTGAGTGTCAGCTATCATAATGAAATATTGCCAGGACTGACAACAGATAAAGGTGGGTATTTCGTTGCTTTATGACAAGCGACAGACAAAGCGAGACACTTTTTGTGGCACAGAGAATGTGGCACAGCATGGATATGACTGCCATGCAGGCTCAAAGCAAATGGCGGTGGGCAATGCGTTTCATCAAGCTGATGCAGGAAAAATCGGCACCCAAGTGTGGGAAATTGAAACGTTGCAAAGGATGCAATAGACAGCGTTTCATCCTGCTGTTGTCATTCTGCTGGCCACGTTTATTGCTTGGGCTTTTTTGTTTTTGTGGTGCCATATTGGACACATGTGAAATGCTTTTGTGCTGGCAGCGAAAAGCAACCAGAAACTGACCCAGTTCAACAAAGTGCTCTTGCTGGCAACCAATAACCAATAAATGCAGGAGTGGCAAGTCGATGGGACTGTCGAGTGTTGCACGTTTGCAGACTGATTTGTAGTAACTTTCAAATTGGATAATTACTAAATACTTGCTTATTTTATTGTAATGGCCGAGACGATAAATGTAATAGCCGTCATTAGAGGCAGCAGCTTCCGTGCTACGTATGAGACAGCTGAAAACAAGTTGGGGGCAAGCTGCAGCTTGCACCAGCCGCAGCCCCAACTCCAGCACCAGTCGCAGCAGTGTCTTGTATTGCTTTGCATGCTGCCACTCATTAATGCTGCGCCCCCGGGGCGCATCGACCAAATTGCAGTTACGTGTGGAGCGCATCGTCAGGGCCCGGTCCTTGGGTCCAGCCTGGCACCCAACGTGGCCCGCTCGTACACTTTAATAGCTTCGATTGCAATCTGTAAAATTGAATTGAAATCAATTGGCAGCGCTTGTAGCGACATCAACATGGGGGCAAAGCGAGCGCAATTGACTGATTGATAAACTGGCAGCGGGGCCATTGACATATTTGCCATAAACAATTTGACATGGGGCCGCTTAGTAGTTGTCACTCAGCTGCGATGTTGCCATATATATATTTCAGCATTGATTGATGACACACCTTAGATGTTTGCCTGTCTCAGCTATGCACTGCTATATGACAGTATGTTTATGAGCTGCCAGTTAGCTGGACATGCACCGGAAATTAGCTTTATTAAGTTAAAAGGCTGGCACTGCAAACTTTACCCGAGTACTTGCCCAAAATTGTGGCTTATTGAAAAAGTTTAGTTTTTCTATATTTCTTCTTTTTTTTTTTGTTTGTGTCCTGACAGACAAGTGTAAGACAAACTTTGTCTCAAAGGCAGACAGTTTTGGGCTGCTTGGCCTCAAAGTCATGTGCACAATTTTTGTTGAAGTTCAGCACTTGACTTCAACTTTGGAGACAAGTGCCACGCCTCAAAGCTGAACAGTCACTTGACGCAAATTGCCGGGGCTTTAAACTTAATTTCGGTTCGCATTCATTAAGCAGCAGGCCAGCGGGTCGCATGATTAATATTAAAGCTTTGTGCTGACTTCCGAGGCGTTGTTCCACTTTTCATTTGTTGTAAGTCTCATTAATGTGTGCGGTGCGTAATGAGTCTAGGCTGTTCCAGTTTTGCTCGCAAACCAAATTATTTTACACACAGTTCTCAACTGCTTCATTACACAGCGCAATTCAAACTTTGCACACTCAACATATATGCGTGGGTTGTGGGTGGGTGGGTGTATGTGCATGTGCATGTGCATGTGCGTGTGTGTGTGTGTGTGAGCCACCCACTTGATTTGCCCACTTGACTTCTTCTTGAATTGAAATGCAGCATGTGCATGCGGGCTGAGAAATGCCAGCACACACTTCACACCGCCACTTATTTTGCTAGTATTGCTGGATATATTTCATTCCACACGTGCCACACGGTGCGGAGTGCTGCGGACATGGGCCACACTACAGCTATAGATAGTCTTGGCCAATACCCCTACACAGCCGTACGTTCTTATCGCTCTTTGTACATTGATTTACAAAAAAAGAAAAATGTACCTGCTGACAGCATTTATTTATGTATGGACCTACTGATACCTATTTGAGGCTATGCCTCGCCTTGCCCCGCCTCGCTCCGTCAGGCTGCCTACGTGATGCTTGACAACTGTTGCCATTAACAGCTGGCCGGGAACAGCCACAACAGCGATCCACAATTTGCCACTTGCTCGTGTGCTTAATGCGTCTCCATGGTGTCATTGTGCGTGTGCTCCTTGTACTGCTGTTGTTCTCCTTGTTGATGTTGCTCTTGTTCCGTTGGCTGACAAAGTTTTTGCCATAAATCCAGGAGCGAAAACAACTTTGAAATTTGAGTGTGATTCGGTTTTGTGGTCTAGAAGCAGATTGAAATTATTGAAGAGCCTTTTTTGGTTTTAGCTGTGTTTCAACTAAAATTAAACGCACTTTTTAACAGAAATGTGTTCTCTAGATAACATTTGTATTTACATTTTTTGCATTCGAGAAAAGAATATTTCTTAGAAATTCCCTGCTGACTCCTTTAGCTATGAAATATTGATTTCAAATCGAAAGCTTTTTCTTTATTTCTTATTGATAAAGTATATATCGAGTTCAAATACAACTGTAAACATGTTTTTATTTTAGCTTAAAGCTGATTTGCTTTGATTGAAGTATATTTTTCAGAGCAGCTGTGGCGTTAATGTGGCCCTAAACTCAAAGTAAATACGCTTAACTGAGTCTGACAATGGCTGCTGATGCGGCTGCGTGTTCCCTTAGATAAATAGACCCCAAAAGTGCACGTTCATAGACAAAAGTTTTCCACAATTTTATTTTATTTTATTATTTCTCTTTTTGTATTTTGACGCAAATGCAAACAAACAATACTCTCAGCAGACTAATTATTTTAGCTGCTCCAATCCCAGTCCCAGACGCAAACTCATGCCCAAGCCAAGGCGAGTCGGAGAAACTAATCAAAATATTTTCGCAACTTTCCATTATGAAGTGAAAAGTTGAAGACGCGACGCAGACGTCTACGTTTGCATTTGCATTTGCATGAACAATGAAAAGCAAATATTTTGCCGCTATTGACATTCATCTACATAAGGAGCAGCGGGCAAGGGACAGGGAGCAGAGGAATCCGTCTGCAGTTTCTGTGCCCCCCACGTCCGCCAAGCCCGGACATCATTCAATTAAGACAAATTATGAGCACCAGCTCGCATTTCAATAGCCTTCATTGAGGCATCAAGTGGCAGCTGACTGTGGCCTGACAATTTTTTTTTACTAAGGTCCACCAGATGCAATCGAGAGCCCGGATCCTGTGCGGGTGCCAATCTGTGCGGGTCCTTGAGCTTAGCTTTTTCCGCGGAAATCATTGCAAGGTTGGCACAATTTCAAGATAAGCAAAAAATAAAATAAAACACATATTTGAACTGAAGTCGTCGCCGTTGCCGTTTCTCAAGAATTTTATAGCTTGCAGACGCTCTCTACATGTCTCCTGTCCGGCTGTCCGGCCGTCTGTCCGACTTTATGTCTGGCTGTCCGTCGGTCTTCCTGCTGATTTATGAATTTAATTAAAAGCAGCAGTACGACAATAATGTTTGCGGGTGCTCCAGCTACAAAGGCCGCGCTTTGTGAAATATTTTCGGGAGACGCGCGCTTAAAATGTATTTATGATGGAAATTGTACTATACTCCTACAAGTTAAAGAGAAGGGCACCAAGCAAGTCTTAGAAACCTGCTGTCTGTTCTACTCGCAGTTTGAGTTATGCGGCCACGTGTTTGTATTTAATTAGCATCTGGCATTACTGTATTATCCGAGTTGCTGGAGGCAATACGCTTTGTTATTTGGACATATTAAAAATGCGCCTGAAGCAATTATTTTTGCTGCGCTATGCCATTGTGCAGCAACAACAATAAGCGGGCCTGAGAAGTTGCCAGGGATACGGCTGCAGCTACAATGCAAACCGCAAGTATCTTATTTTGGAGCGTCTTTCAGCTGCTGCTGTTGCTGCTGATGCTGCTGATGCTGCTACTGCAGCCCACATAATCAAGACAACGCTAAAAGCTACACGATGAAACCTACCACCCTCTCCCGCCCCCTTTGCATTTATACTCCCCCCTAACATGCAGCTTCTTTGCCTTTGTCTGTGCGCTTCTGGCGTGCCATGTTTATCTTTTAACTAATTTTTTTCATGTTGCCTGCGCTCGCATAGTAGTTAACTTTGTTGTGTCTGAGCAATGTGTGTGTGCGTGTGTGTGTGCCCGTTGATGTTTAATTTCTTTAGTGGAAGTAATGGCCGAGTTGCCAAGTTGCATGCTGCAAAAGTTTTGCTTGCTCTGTTAGGGCACCCAAAGCGACAGCCGCCCCAAAAAATATTCTCAAGAGCTGCTGCATTTGCTTTATAAAATGCGACTGGAAGACTGGCTACCAGTTCCAGAATCATTCACAAAGGGAAAGTTCAACAATCAAAGGAAGTAACTCACTTTAAAGTGTGTAATGTGCAAGAAAAAAATACTTAACTGCTCTTTTTTGTGGGAAACAGGCAAGTGCTACTTATTAAAAACTCTAACAAAATACAGTCTCATTCAGTATTCTAAAGAATTTAATTGATTTGTTGCGCTTTTCACTTGTATTTCATAACCATATTTTATATAAAAAATGTTATTTTTTAAATATTTCTGATATTCCGCATATCTTGTTTTTATATAAATTAAATGGCTTGTAAATCAATCATAGCCCTCATAAATTAAAGAGCACTCACTGTCGCGCATAGCTGTTAAGTTGTTTGTGCAGCCTCTCTCTGCGCTTCTCATCAACAGTCGGTCTGTGGCAGTAAATGATTTGCGCTTAAGCGTATCCGTGCGGTTGTCTGGGCGCACTTGGTGCGATAACCGCAGCAGGTTGATGCTGTACTTGATTATCATCTGGCATTGGCTGCGGCGTCTGTGGCTGGCGTGGCCGCGACTGTAGAGTCAATGGCGGCATTTGGTGGCGCCGTCTTTTGGCGCTGGCCTCGCGCTGTTGCATTTAGTATATCGATATCGTGTCTAATTAAAGCACAGCTCAAGCCAATAAGCAGCTGAATCATGCTTTAAGGTTGCTTAACGTTAAGCACCACTGCTCATAAAATTGTAAGTGGGTTAATGTGGTTCAAGTTGCATACTTTGGCAAAGGAAAGAAACCGAAACTGAACATTATATATATCAAACACAGTGGTTTCCTCAAGCCATAAATAACGGATGAGCACAGCATTCGAGATATGCCGCAGCACTGCATAAGCCAGTCGAGGCACATGGATGTTAAGATAATGTCACGCCGCCTTTGGACTTGGCCGATAAGATCAGCAGCTAGCTAGGCAAGCGTTGACGTCGCGGCCAAACGGGGCACACCCCCGCCATATATCTATGACAAATGTAGCAGTCGAGTGGGGCCAGCGATAAGAAGATACTAATTAATAACCGGGGGCCCAGCGATTGGCGCTGCTGTCACATGGCTACCTGTACAGGCATTTGCCAAATTAAATGGCCAGTCAAATAGATTGGACTTAGGGCCGCAGGCACAGCCACAACAACTACAACAACTACAACAACGACAACAACAACATCCGCAACCAGTTGCACTTACAAGTTGTTTTCATTAATTATGAGCGCGGCGCCCAGTTGCAGCTTCATTGGAAAAACGTGCAAAACGTTTTGGCTTTGGGCGGTTTAGCCAAGTGAATGATTCGTATCTCTGGCAACATGAGGCGCCACTAAACGGGCCAAGCTGTTGACGTTGCTGTTGCTGCTGCCGTTGTTGCATGCACCTAATCGACGGGCGCCATCATCAGCATCAGCATCAACATCAACATCATGATCATCATGATCGTGAACATGATCATGATCGTGGGTCAAGGCAAGCGACCACAGCGTCCCTAGGAGCTGGCAAGGTGCTTGGCATTAACGCATTGCGTTCCACGTTCGACATTCTATTAAATTAGCTGCAAAGCCCCCTCCTTATTTGGTACTGTAATTTCGTATGCACGCCCACTTGGCCTAAACCTACGGCTGCTACTGTGCGGCCAAGTTTTGTTTGCAATTTGTTAATAGGTTGTGCAGCATGCAGCATGTTAATACCTGAATTGAACAAGGCAGCGGTTATGTGGGGGACAGAAGACAGAGGCAGCTGGCACAGCGACGCTTCCTCGCTGGCTCATTAGGCATGCAGCTTAGCTGGACGACTATCAACTGGTCTGGTCTGGTCCCGCTTGGCAACTTAATCCAAACGGACGTGCATTAAATTTGCACATGGATATTGCCAAATTAGCCCTTTTGGCCAGTTATTTAAGGCATCGATTAGTCATAAAGAGAGCCCGCCTAAGCTATTGATTGCATGCGGGGCTAGTCGCCGACTTGAGCTCATTCGCACGCCTCGGCCAAATGGACGACGGTTGTACTTGACTTCTGAACCAGCGCCCACAGAGCGTGACTGGACTGGTACCAAACCCAACGCCACGCTCAAAATTGGCTAACCAAAAACTAACAACAATAAGCATTGTGGTTGTTGGTCTCGTTGTTGTTGTTGTTGTTGCTGGCGTTGCTTGTTCTGGTTACTTGTGCTTGTTTAGATAGGCAATCTCTTGAACGCCACTTGAAATAGAATTTTCCCACCATCTAAAAATAAAACCCAACATGCCATTGTCAACACACTCAGCTCGACTTGGGCAACACTCTGCAGAATATTCCGGATTTATCTAAAAAATAACTACATGCAAGCTATGCTATCTCTAATTCCAATTTCAGTTAAATTAAATCAATATAAGAAATAATTCCCTGAGCAAAGCATAAGCTGAAAACTAACATAATTTCTACTTGTATTGAAGGCACAATATACCCTGTACTTTTAGGCATGTGGTTTAATTATAGGAATGCATTAACTACAGTTTTCTTTGTCTAGTCTTATCTGTTTACATATATTTATACTTATACTTCTGATTTATACAAAAATTTTTTGCTGGTGGTCGGCACTTTTTTTCATGCTTCAAAAGCTGGGGACATGTGGGAGAATGGGCCCAGCACTTAACTGCAAATTATACAGCAGTCCGGAGGAGGGGCTGGGCCAACAATAATAATAAATGAAAATGTCTGTAATTCTCATGTGCGGACTGGCCGGAGAAAAAAAAACCCACAAGATGAAAAAGATGAGGCAGCAATGCGAAATAAAAAACGAAACTGAACTTGAGCACTTGCTTATTATGCAGCCCATACCCAAGGAGGGAGAAGCGGCAGGCAGAAGGTGGCCCAATATTTCTCACAGCTGCGGGAGTCGGAAGCTAAGCCAGGCAAATAGACGGCGTGTAAACGAACTCGCTCGGTGCGGAACGGAGGGGGGCGGGGCGAGATGTACCCATTGAAGGGGTCTAAGTGCAGCATGTTGACCCATTATTGGCTGATGCAGCCATCAATAAAAATGTTTCTGTTGAGAGTTCATATTTGGGTCTTAATAAACGGGTGCAGTTTAATAAATACACAACAAACAGCTGTTGGCAGTTGTCGCAGGCATCTATCATGCTGCAGGGCTTAACTAGGTGACATGGGAACAT